ATGTATTCCACAAGGGCTCTCATGTTTTGTGATACCCAACTGCCCAAGACAAAGGTGAGGAGCAAAACCTGAAGCAAGTTGGATGCATTCCTACTCTGCCTGTGTGTCAGATTATGCTTAGAACAAAATTATGACCCCCTGACTTGTTGCTTATGATGCCTAGAGTTCCCCAACAAACACTTTGAGAATATTTGAATTGATATTGTGACACATATAATATTATAATATTAATATTAATATTTCCAATCTTGAGTTACAGAAACAGTGGTCAACAAAGTCATTATTTCCTTACCCTTTATCTCCAAGTTCTAGATCTTTATGGGTTTAGTTATTACTTCATCTTACATTCTGTTCCTTTTTCAAAGTCTTTGAATGGATTCCAGATAAGAATATAAAGATAAAACATGTAACCTTAATATCAAGAAAGCCATGATGTGGCAACAACATTTCCAGTAGTGGTTGCACAGGTGAACCTAGGTATTCCCACAACTACTCAGGTTGCTGCATGCTGCTGCATGCTGAGCTAGCTGAAGCTTCCAGAAAGATCTTCAACGGCAGCCCAAGGGAACCCCAGCCTTTTCAGCCAGTCCAGAAAAAATACCATGGTCAATGGCTTTAAGGCCATTCAGTGATTCAGTAGGACCAGGACCTCATCCATCTCCTGAAAAAAGATTATCAGAGTAACCAATGTAATTTAAGTTCCATGACTATGCCTAAATCCTGACTGGAGAGTCCAGATACCGGTAATTCCTATTGCCAGTGTACCATATGCCTGGATCCTTGAAATGGAATATTGGGACCCTGAGCAAAATGGGCACATTGAGGGAAGATTCTAAACACAAATGACATTCTCTGGTATGATAGAAGTCTCTGATTCTGGGAATGTAAGTGGAAGTTTTCAAAATAGTGTAAAACTAGGACAGTAGACATCTTTGTGGACTCAGATTAAAGATTAGCATCCTCCCCATTAATCTATTTAGGGCCTCTCTATTTTATCTTCTTTCTATTATCTTTTATCTTCTTTCTATTTTTTATGAATTTCATGTAGTCTTCCACTTACAAGCACATTGAGATCAGAAGCAGCCATGGGATCACACCCAACTTTTCAATTTTTTACAGCAGATTAACTGAATCACATGGTTCTGAGACCATATCTCATGGTTGTTAAGTTGTTAAGTTGATCATTTGGCCATAAGTTTGAATCCATTCTTTGGAATAGATGTGGGTTTTTTTGCCAGAACCCGCAAATTTTGGTCTCAAAGATGTACAGATATGCAGTTTACAAGTTTCTCTAACCCTTTCTCTCTATAAATCTGCCTGTTCTGAATATTGTTTTTAAGTTACTGCAAAGGGATTAATATACAGCTTCTTCAAGTGCCATTGGCGATTTTCCAGAACCAAACGTTTCCTAGGTTTATGCAGGAACTAGGGGAGCATGGATTGAACCTACTGGTGATGAAGATCATGCCCAAGAGCAGCCTATCCACTTTAGAATTACCAATTCTAAACTACCAGCTGTCAGACTGGATGCCATAATCTGTAAAATTCCCCAAGTGTCTTCTAGACCACCCCTCCCATCCCCAACCAGTAGACATTATACTAATAACCCTGACAGCCTTGTAGAGTTCCCTGTTAGCAGTTGATTACAATTGGTCTAGGTAGTGATCAGACCACAGCAAAGGCTAGCAGTAATGTCCCCATATTCTAGTCACAAATTAATTACACAGTCCAGCATATATCTGCCTTCATATTTCAGATAGAGATCACCTGAGGCAAACCATTCTATACCTATGGATATCATGAATTCTCTCACTTTCTCCAGCTGAGTTTGTAATAGTGGAAGACACATCTAACATCTGGACTCTAGATCAAACCTGAAATAGTTCAAGGAGCTCAAGAAGCAAGCCGCCTTGTCAGTGAGGCTACCAATCTGTCTCTTCAGCCCATGTAACATTCAGGCAGTTGCATTCTTTGTGGCTTGGCACCTGAGTGTCTCTTGGGCTGCATACTCTGATTAGAATTGGCCCCAATGTCTCAGGAGAATGTACTAGTTTCCCCCCTTTGGAAAGTAAATAGAATCAAGGGCAGGAGATGCTGCTTTTTAATAGCAGCACCAGTTCTCTAGAACCGTCTGCCAGAAGAGATTAGACTGGGCCTTCCTCAGATGATGAAGAATAATTTTTAATGTGGTCCATGACCAGCCTATAAAACACCTTACATAAAAGTGAAATTTACTGACTAAGTAAACAAATCAATCAAATAAAATCTCTGCATGTCATATCTATAACATGACAGAAATTGGTCATACTTTTTTGGGAATCATTTGAATCTGAAAACAAATATTTTAAGTGAATCTAGTCAGAGTTCCCCAGGATACATAATTAGGTATGGAGTTAACAGTTCAGAGCAAGAAGTGTATAAAAATGCAATTTGAATATTTTCAGTTCTTTATATTGTGTAAACTGCTGCTGAAAGTTGTTTTAGACTCTGATATGATATTAATTTTTCCCAAATAGGGTTTCTGGTCACGAATAAGATGTTTTTAAAAATCAACATGTGTCCCTATTTCCCTCTTCAGGAGTTCCATTGAAATTGCTGCAGGACCCCCAAAATGGGATAATCTCTGCAAGAAAGACATCCTTGCCTCATCCAACTAGGAAAGATTTTGGAAAAATTTGTTGGGTTTGTCTGTTGTTTTATAATTAACATTGATAGTCAGAGTTAATATTTACAGCAACAGGAGCAGCGTGAAATTACAGTTACCAGCTATCTCACTACCTGTACAGAGATTGGATCCACTAGATTGGAAGCCGTGTACAGCTGTATTAGCTTATGGTAACAAGAAGTCTGGTACCACCTTTTCAGATTAACAGTTTTTATTAAAATCTCAAAGTTTTCACAATTACAACCTTTACAACCTCAACCTTGTTCTTCACTACAATACTATAATATTAAGAGCTCTATTCAGTATACAAGCAAGACTAATATTACCAAGAGTAATTATCCAGTAAAGAGTATTATCCGGTTGTGTTTGCTCTGGATCCTTGTCTTAGTTTATCATCTTAAGGTAGTAAAAATATGTAAATATTCAAAAATGTTTTCAACTTGCTCAGGGAAATCTTGTTTTAAAGTCTGAAGCTTATTACTGAGTTCCATAGTCATCACTGTGGGGTTTAGAAGTTGCTGGCTATACGAATTCCATTTTTTATCTCTGACATTTTCTTTTTAAAATTTTCTTCCCCTTATTTCATTTTGAAAATCATTCTGCTTTGTCTTATTAGTCCCCTTGGGTCTAGTTTTGCATTATTAGGCTCTAAAATTCATTTGGAGTCAATGCTAGAATTAAATGAACTTGAGATATTTGAGGCAAACCAATCTACCATTGTTACCCCATTGTCACAATTTTTAAATATTAATAGCAGAACATTTTAACCATTTTTAATTTTATTCATTATATTTCAGTATTCTTCTTTCAGAGTCCTTCTTAACATAAACATGCTTGATTTATTCAGATCTATTGGATCTTTGGATTGCTGTTCTAGTAATAACTTTTAAAATTGAGTTCGATGACAGTTGTACAAGTGTAATAAAACAACACCAGATTGTGACCTTCATGTCATGAGCCAAATTAGAATATGGTACCAGTGCACAATATGGGATGATGTCAATTACTCAGCAGTAGCTCATCTTTTTTTTCTTTAAACATGTTTTGGCATTGGACAAACAATGTCCAATAAGTCCAAACAATAAGTAGCAGTGACAGTTTGAGAATTGTCACACAAGCTTTGTATATAGGCAGTACAGAAAATTTTACCTGTTACTTCTGTGGGATTGGCATGTCCAACCACATATTTCAGTCTGAATGTATTCATTTTTGTTGTTACACAATTCTCAATTAATTTATTTGCATTTATTCTGCACTGTATATACTGTTCAATTCTAAAAAGAAACATTTCAAAATGACTGTAAATTGTATCGAATTCGGTGGGAGAAAATATGATACATATGGTTGTATTTGTTAAGTCATGGGTGGGGAAGGGGAACCAATGAAGATTTTTGGGTAACAATGTAGTTTCACATTTAAAAAGAAAAAAAATGTTTTCTAATTTGGAAGACAGTTCAAGATAGCATGTGAGAAATATTTTTTTCAAATAGGCATGACTTTTGTAACATGGAAAAAGAAGAGCTCCCAGTTTAGTTTGTGGCCTAAGGGGGGAAACTGGTTAGTTTTTAAAGATGTTTGGGTGAGGACTGTTATTTTTAGAGGACAAACTCAGAGTAAGTAAAATAAGTTACATAATGCTTCCTTTGTTTCTGTTCAGCTGAATGTTGTTTTGGCTGAAGCTAGTGAAGGGGCTGGAAAAGCGACAAAAACACAAGGGAATGGTACCAGTGTGTGGAGTATATGGTTGAATGGAAACTGTTTGGTTTAAAACTCTGTGCAGCTTTCTGTTGAAATGACCTACGCTATATGTAAGGAAGCTATTGCCAGATGTTGGAAATGTTTTATTTTCTTAAGAGAGGTAGTTGTCTAGGAAAGGAAAATAAGTTCCTTCTTGCCTTCCTGCACGATCATTTACAAAAATACACCTTTACAGAATAATTTGCCGTCGGAATGTATGGAACCGAGGAGACATTTCCTTCCCAAGGGTGAGATTATTAGCAGCCTTTCCGTCGTTCCAGTCAGAGGCGCATCCAGGGCGTCCCATCCTCCTTTTGATGCCTTCCCACATTTCTCTTCCGCTCTAGCTGAGGCGGCCTTAGTGGAAATGATTGGCTAACGTAAGGCCAGTCGGCTTTCTACGCAGGCTTTCAACCGGCCGGTAAAGAGTTAAGGCAGAGGCCGTAAATGTCTCCGAGACTGGCTGGCTGTTCCGGTTCCTTGAAGGAATCCAGTCCGCGCTTTTTGCATTGCTCGGAAGAGTCGGATCTACTTTCCCCATTCTTTCCCCCCCCTTGCTCTCTCTCTCTCTCTCTCTCTCTCTCTCTCTCTCTCTCATCCCTCCCCCCTTTTCTCCTCCTCCTCCTCCTCCTCTTCCTCCTCATCCGACAGCTTTAGTCAGTGGTTGGCGAGGGGGGGGCACCGTAAGAGCCAAAGTTCGGAGGTGATTCGGGGCTTGCCGACCACTTCCCCGGTCATCGCCTGCTAAACGAGACCGAGCAGCACCGGCAGAGGAGCTGCTAGCGAAGTAGCCGGAGAAGTGGAGTGGTGCTAGATTTGGAAGAGTAATATGGCTGATCTAATGGAGTACGGAGCAATTTGTTTTTCTCCGTACTATGCCGAGCTTGGATTGTAACATGTAAATAACTTCTGTCGGATTGTTAGCTTTGGGCACGGGTGTCAGCCTCTTTGTTCTTCCAGAGCGTTTTGGTGAGAGGATCCAGGCTGTGCCTAATGTTAGGCAGACAGAATTGAACGTCGGTGAGTACCCTGCCGTTAACTTCTTTGTATTGGAAGGCTGAATATGACAGGAGCCTCGGGCTCTATATGGCAGGCCGTGTTACAGTGCCCTGGATACGGTGGTAGATTTTAAATGAAAGAAAGAAATCCAGCAGGGTCCAACCTGTCCTGAAAAGTTACCGGGAGGATTAGCTCAAACCTTCGATATTGCCAAGCTGTTACACATTGTCTTTGCTGATCCTGGGAATAGTTACAACTGTATTCGTTCAGCATTCTTTAGTGAATTCCTCCCAGTCAAGTGAAAAGAAAAAATGTCAAGAAAGTCGGCTGTCCTCATATCTGGAACACTGAAAAAGTCTTTTATTGCGGTTCATCAATCTTGTCTGATAGGGGTCGAAGCCATTTTAAAATTATGACAAGTTTTCTTTAGGAATAGGTCATCCCTGAAAAAATGGGTTATGTAACTTTTGTTTTGGTGCACTTCATAGTCAGGAAAAGGAAAATTCCATCCAACTATGTAATACAAATTTGGTTACTTTAGCATGATGTGTGTGCACAGTTAATTTCTCCAGTAACTTTATCATACTGTTCATTGCAAGTCCTTTAAAAGATAACACATATTTTGATAAACATGTTGACAAGTCAGTATAGCTTAAGCGTCTTAATTTTGTTTTGTTTTTGAATATTTTGGATATATTTTTGAATTTTTCCAATATAATTCTCCCCACTTGAATTATATTGAAACAGGTGGATCTCTGTGACTGTTGCAAGGCAAAATATTTTATCACTGCAGAATAGTGTGAAAAAAGGTGAAAAACATGTGCCTAAATTAAAATGCTATTGGATTTTGCAGTTGTCTAAGTAAATATTCATTATATTATTTTAATACAAAATAAGATGGATTATTTATTTATTTATTTATTTATTTTATTCAATTTGTATACCGCCCTTCTCCTAGTGGACTCAGGGCGGTGCACAGCCAGAACTAAAACACATAACAATACAAAATTTAAAATTATTAAAAGAATTATATACTTTGGCCTAAATTTAAAACAATTCGAATTAAAACCCATTGACAGATTAAAAGCCAAACAACTAAAAAACTAAAAAAAGTGTGGGGGGGGGTCACGTCAGCCCTGCTTGATGGAAAAGAAAAGTTTTCAGGGCATGGCGAAAGACCCGGAGATCTGATATCCTTCTTATCTCCGGGGGTAAATCGTTCCAGAGGGCGGGAGCTGCCACAGAGAAGGCCCTCCCCCTGGGGTTCACCAGCCGACATTGCCTGGCTGACGGCACCCTGAGGAGTCCCTCTCTGTGGGAGCGTACTGGTCGGTGGGAGTCTATCGGCGGCAGAAGGCGGTCCCGCAAATACCCAGGTCCTATGCCATGGAGCGCTTTAAAGGTGGTAACCAAAACCTTGAAGCGCATCCGGAAGACCACTGGAAGCCAATGCAGCTCATGCAGGAGAGGTGTCACATGGGAGCGATCCCTCGCTCCCATAATCCCCTGCGCGGTCGCATTCTGCATCAGTTGGAGCCTCCGGGTACTCCTCAAGGGGAGCCCCATGTAGAGAGCATTGCAATAGTCAAGGCGAGAGGTGAGGGCGTGAGTGACTGTGCACAAGGAATCCCGATCGAGAAAGGGCCGCAACTGGCGAATCAGGCGGACCTGATAAAAAGCCCCCCTGGCCACGGCCGTCATATGCTCTTCTAAAGACAGCCGTGCATCCAGGAGGACGCCCAAGTTGCGAGCCCTATCCGTGGGGGCCAATAACTCACCCCCAATAGCCAGCGATGGCACCAGCTGGCTATATCGGGATGCCGGAAGCCACAGCCACTCGGTCTTGGAAGGGTTGAGTCAAAGCCTGTTACTCCCCATCCAGATCCGCACAGCCTCCAGGCACTGGGACATCACTTCAAGGGCATTGTTGAGATGGCCTGGGAGATGTACAGCTGTGTATCATCAACGTACAGATGGAACTCCACCCCAAAGCCACGGATGATCTCACCCAGCGGCTTCACATAAATGTTGAACAGAAGGGGCGAGAGGACCGACCCCTGAGGCACCCCACAAACAAGGCGCCTCTGGGTCGACCTCTGCCCCCTGCCAACACCGACTGCGACCGGTCGGAGAGATAGGAGGAGAACCACCGCAGAACGGTGTTCCCCACTCCCAACCCCTCCAACCGGCGCAGCAGGATTCCATGGTCAATGGTATCAAAAGCCGCTGAGAGATCTAACAGGATCAGGACAGAGGAACAACCCCTATCCCGAGCCCTCCAGAGATCATCCACTAACGTGACCAATGCCGTTTCCGTGCTGTGCCCAGGCCTGAAGCCGGACTGGAGCGGATCCAGATAGACAGCTTCATCCAGGTACCCAGGAAGCTGTCGCGCCACCACACTCTCAACAACCTTCGCCAAGAAGGGAAGGTTGGAGACCGGACGATAGTTAGCCAAAACAGCCAGATCCAGAGCAGGCTTCTTGAGGAGAGGCCTCACCACCGCCTCTTTCAAGGCAGATGGCAAGACACTCTCACTCAAGGAAGTGTTGATAATTCCCTGGAGCCAGCCTCGCGTAACCTCCCCGAGGCCAGCACCAGCCAGGAGGGACACGGGTCCAATAAACATGTTGCATTCAGCCGCCCCAGTATCCTGTCCATGTCCTCAGGAGCAACAGGGTCGAACTCCTCCCAAATGGCAGTCTCAAGACCGGCACCCATCATCCCGTCTATACCTACCCAGTCAGAGACCAAGCCTTCCCGAATCAGTGATTTTATCATGCAGATACTGGACAAAATCCTCGGCATGACCCTGCAAGGGATCCTCCCGCGGAGGAGGGAACGGGTCACCCTAAACAGGGCAGCCGGGCGATTATCTGCCGATGCGATAAGAGCGGAAAAATAGTTACATTTTGCCGCTTTTATCCCCACTAGATAAGTCTTAATATGAGATCTTACCAGTGTTCGGTCGGATTCGGAGCAACTAGATCTCCAGCTGCTCTCTAGGTGTCTTTTCTGGCGCTTCATCTCCCTCAGCTCCTCGGAAAACCAAGGAGCCAGGTAGACTCGGTGACAGGTCAGAGGCTGCGCAGGCACGACTCGGTCCAAAGCGTCAGTGGCCGCCCTATCCCAGGCGGCCACCAGCTCCTCCTTATAGTAATGGAAATTGGGCTACTGTTGAAAATATTTTTATTTTCAATACTTTTTAAATGGATATAGTTACGATTCAATCAGCAGTGGTTATTACAGCTGTATTGGTGTACTGCTAAAGTATATTATATAATAGTTTTCTAATGGTGCAGAAACACTTGGTACATAACTTTAATACAGCAGCCCAAGACAATTTACTTTTCTTTAAAAATTTGGCATCACAGCTCAGTAATTTTTTAAAATATAATTTACGTAAAATATTCAGTATCGAGTGATGTTTTCTGTTTTCAGCTTGGCACATAGAAACTTCCTGTGTTTATATTTGCCAACTTCCTGTTGGAAAAAAAAAGCAGTATCAGTGGTTCTGTTTACACAGTCATTTTTACAAAGAATAAAAAAATTGTAACTAACGAACTCTATACAATTTATTATTGTTTGGTTTTTATGTAATAATTCTACACTTTATTTTCAGAACTCAGCACCATGCATATAGGACAGCAATTGAAGAAATGACATTATCTTGACATCTAGTCAGTTTATTCTTTAAAGTATGAGTTTCAAATAATGTTTTTTCCCTTAGACTTATTGGTGTTGCTTTTGTTTTGCTTTTATACTGTATAACAGTGGAAATGTTGTAGTTTATGAGTTTACAAAAAAAAATCTAATCTAATCCTTAACTATTACATAAAGTCAACATGGCACCATTCTTTTGTAGTTTAAATAGTAGGTGCTATTAGTTAGATTTTCTTACTAAGTGGCTAATTCATTGCTATTTAATTTTTTTTAAGAAAAAAACGAGTATATAAAATTATCTTGGCATTGTATCACATTTTCTTTTTGATTTACTGATAGACTTATTGTAAATATAGCAAATTACAGATATTTTGTCACACAATTACATATTCAATAAGGTAAAGAGAAAACACTGTTGGAGTTTGGAAGATGTTAGGTAATTAAGGGCAAGATTTTAAGAATAAATTAATATGCTATAGTAATATTATTTGATAGAAGTAAAATCTTCCTAAGATATTTTTATTTAATATTTAAGAAAGGTTCTTTGTGAATATAGGTTCAGTGGGTAAACAGCTAATCACAAGAAAATAAGCTAATAAGTTGCATAGTTCTGGCCTACAGAAAAAACAGATATTATAGAACTTAAACATTACACTAAGCAGTATTCATTTAGTTTTGGCTTAGACTTTTATGGGAACACATTATATTCAGTTTATATATCAAACCCACCACTTGGAAAGTTAGTTGTTGTTTGTTCATATTTTAATGCTCATTCTTCTTCTATATTACTGGTTTGCAGAATGAAAAAAATGTTACCATCTATGTCAGCTTGACATTTTATGTTCTGGATTTTTTCCAAACAGTTGCAACCGTTCTCTGCTCAGAGGAATTTGCAATTAATAGAAAAAATGGTGAAAGTAAAATGAATATAAAATTCAAAACAAACATTATATTTATAGCACTTGCTACCTACAGAATGCACAAAATACTTTTTATGAAAACATTTATTAATAGAGATTTGCAGATTATTTTTGAGATATCAAACTATACCTAGGGCAATATGAAAATGACAGTTGACTGGAAACATTTGACAGGCAGACAGCCCTGAGTTTGGAAAATTGTCAGAAGAGATTGTTCTTCTCTAATATAAAGCTTGACAGCAGAATTAGAGAAATTGTAATAAAAATCTTGGCACTACTTAGATTAAATTTCACTACTGAGGTTTAAAATTGCAGGTGTCTGATAACTCAGTTGTGAGATAAGTGGATTTGTGGTGCACTGACAAAATAGTTGTGATTCAATTAAATATCTATGAAATCAGGCATTCTTATTGTCCAAAAAAGTCAAAACTTTTTTAA